GCTGTTCTGGGAGGTTCACAAAGGCTGCCTGTGGGGATCTGTTACCAAAAAGCTCTGAGGGGTTTAGGAGCTCCAATTCCATGGATTTTTTTGGGATTTCAGTAGCTGAACCCCTCTTTAGGACTGTCCTGACAGTTTTACCAAGACTACCCTGAGGGATCTGTTACCAAAGGGCTCTGAGGGGTTTAGGAGCTCCAATTCCACGGATTTTTTGGTGGGGTTTCACCTCAGGAGTGTCCTGACAGTTTTACCAAGGCTACCCTGGGGGATCCATTATCAAAAGGCTCTAAAGGATTTAGGAGCTCCAATTCCACGGATTTTTTTGGGGTTTCAGAGCTGAGCCCCTCCTCAGAAGTATCCAGACAGTTTTACCAAGGCTGCCTTGGGGGATCCATTATCAAAAGGCTCTGAGGGGTTTAGGAGCTCCAATTCCACGGATTTTTTTGGGGTTTCAATTGCTGAACCTCTCTTTAGGATTGTTGTGACAGTTTTACCAAGACTACCCTGGGGGATCCATTATCAAAAGGCTCTGAGGGGTTTAGGAACTCCAATTCCACGGATTTTTTTGCTGGGAACTTCCTGCTCGGGCAAAATTTTGGGAGGAGAACAAATAGATTATATATAATAAAATGAAATAAATGTAATAAAAATAGAATAAAAATAATAAAATAGAATAAAAATCATAAAATAGAATAAAAATAACAAAATGGAATAAAATACAAGTAATAGAGTAAATATAATAATATATATTATTAAATATATTATACATATCATAATATATATAATATATAAATATTATAATATATATCATATATATAATATATTACATATTATAATAAAGAATAAAATACAATAAAATATTATATACTAAAAATAATAAAATAGAATAATAGAATAAAAATAATAAAATGGAATAAAATACAAATAATAAAGTAAATAAAATAATATATATATTATTATATATATTATATATATTATAATATATAATATATAAATATAATCATATATATAATATATAATATATAATATATAATATATAATATATAATATATTATATATTATAATAATAAAGTACAATAAAATATTATATACTAAAATAATAAAATATAATAAAGTATAATAAAATATAATATAAATAATAAAATATAATAAAATGTAATATATATAATAAAAATAAAGAATTAATAGAAAAATAAATAACATTAAAATAAACAAATAAAATTAAATAAAGATACATGAAATGTAGAACAAGTTATAATAAATATATACAAAATTATAATAAATGTGTCATAATTATAATAAATATATAATAAATTATCATAAATGCATAATAAATTATCATAAATAATACACTCCTGGGCCTGGACTAGAAATGTTTGGAACTTTTTTCAAGCGTGCACATCTGGCACCAAGAGAAATCAATTTTCAATTAGTAACAAATGTTAAATAATTTCCATCCTCGATTAAAATTATTCATCTTTAAATCTATTTTTCCCCTCTATTTTTAAGCTATTACTCCTAAGAGATCCAGTCAATACACTGAAAAAAAAAATATATTAAAGACCACTTGTTTTGTAAGAACAGCAAAGGAATTACCAGAAATCTTGGGTTTTTTGGGGGTTATTGACATAGAATCTCCTATAAAGATAATTTAAAGAAAAAAAAAAAAAAAAAAAAAAAAAAAAAAAAAAAAAAAAAAAAAAAAAAAAAAAAAAAAAAAAAAAAAGCTAAACACCCCATAAAGCAGAAACATTTCAAGTTAAATAATATATTTTTTTTTAGGACATAAGGAAGGACTCCTTTTGTTTTTGAACCTGGGAGAGGATGGGCAGCAGCAATCAACAGAGCAAGGAGATTAAAATCTGAATTATCTCCTCCTCCTGAGCACCAAACATCTGCTCATCCCTTTGTTTACACCACCAGGCACTAAGAGTGGGATTTCTTTCACCCAGATTTTAAATATCTAAATTTTTGGGGATTTTTTTTTGCTTTTTTTTGCATTTTATTCCCAATCCAGCCCATCTCAGGTTGGAATTCCTGGGAGCTGATTTCTGCCCCAGGACCAGGGGAATCCAATCAGGCATTTTACAGCCACATTTCAGCTGTAAATAATTCCAAATATTTGGGTTTAAAGTGGTCGGATCAGAGAAATCTCCCTCGCTCAGTGAGGTTTGAATGTCCTGTTATCACGTCAGTTTATTTGGAGATGGGAATTTGGGAATTTGCCTTTTTTTTTTTTTGGCACATTCATCATAAAATTCATCACTGCTGTGCCTCAGGAGTGACAAAACCTCATCCAAATGTCATCACCACAGAGCAGAGAAATACCAGAGCCACATCTCACCAAAAATATGTATTTGTGGGAAAAAAACTGAATTTAAAAACATATTTAATGGTGAGGATCTGCAGCATTGCTGCTGGTTAAACCATGGAGAATCCTGGATCAAAATAATGGGGATCAAACAGAGCCAAATCTCACCAAAAATATATGTATTTGTGGGAAAAAAACTGAATTTATGGCTGAGGATCTCCATCATTCCTGCTTGTTAAACCATGGGGGTTCCTGGATCAAAATCTGTGGGATCAAACACAGCCATATCACACCAAAAATATGTATTTGTGGAAAAAACAGATTTTATGGCCCAGGATCTGCATCATTCCTGCTTGTAAAATCCTGGAGGATCCCAGATCAAAAGGTTTGGGATCAAACACAGCCATATCTTACAAAATATGCATTTGTGGAAAAAATCAGAATTTAAGGCTGAGGACGTGAATCATTTCTGCTGGTTAAACCATGGAGGCTCCCAGACCAAAATAATGGGGGTCAAACACAGCCATATCTCACCAAAAATATGTATTTATGGAAAAAACAATATTTATGGCTGAGGATCTGCACCATATTTGCTTTTTAAACAACTGAAGCTCCTGGATCAAAAGCTCAGGGATCAAACAGAGCCATATCTCACCAAAAATATGTATTTGTGAAAAAACTGAATTTATGGCTGACGATCTGCATCATTCCTGCTGGTTACACCACTGAGGCTCCTGGATCAAAATAATGGGGATCAAACACAGCCATATCTCACCAAAAATGTGCACTTGTGGAAAAAACTGAATTTAAGGCTGAGGATCTGAATCATTCCTGCTTGTTAAACCACTGAGGCTCCTGGATCAAAAGCTCTGGGGTCAAACAGAGCCATATCACATCAAAATAATGTATTTATGGAAAAACCAATATTTATGGCTGAGGATCTGCATCATTCCTGCTTGTTAAACCATGGAGGTTCCCAGATCAAAATCTCTGGGATCAAACACAGCTGTAACACACCAAAAAAATGTATTTGTGGAAAACACAGATTTCATGGCTGAGGATCTCCATCATTCCTGCTGGTTAAGCCATGGAGGCTCCCAGATCAAAATCTCTGGGATCAAACACAGCCATATCACACCAAAAATACATATTTGTGGAAAAACCTGAATTTATGACTGAGGATCTCCATCATTCCTGCTTGTTAAACCATGGAGGCTCCCAGATCAAAATAATGGGGGTCAAACACAGCCATATCACACCAAAAATATGTATTTGTGGAAAAAACAGTATTTATGGCTGAGGATCTGCACCATACTTGCTTGTTAAACAACTGAGGCTCACGGATCAAAATCTGTGGGGTCAAAGAGCCACCCTAGATGGAGGCAGGGTGAACATACTCACCTGTATGTTCCTTTTGAGGATCTCCCTGGTGAGCTGCACCTTGCCAGTGCTGGGATCCACCCCTGAAAGGTGGCTGGATCACACCAAAAATGTGCATTTGTGGGAAAACCTGAATTGATGGCTGAGGATCTGCATCATTCCCGCTGGTTAAACCAGGGAGGCTCCCAGATCAAAATAATGGGGACCAAACACAGCCATATCACACCAAAAATGTGCATTTGTGGAAAAACCTGAATTTATGACTGAGGATCTCCATCATTCCTGCTGGTTAAACCATGGAGGCTCCCAGATCAAAATAATGGGGACCAAACATAGCCATATCTCACCAAAAATGTGCATTTGTGGGAAAACCAGAATTGATGGCTGAGAACCTGCACCACTCCTGCTTGTTAAACAACTGAGGCTCCCAGATGAAAATCTGTGGGGTCAAAGAGCCAGCCTAGATGGAGGCAGGGTGAACACACTCACCTGTATGTTCCTTTTGAGGATCTCCCTGGTGAGCTGCACCTTGCCGGTGCTGGGATCCACCCCGGCCAGGGGCACCATCACCTCCCCGATCACGTCGTCGCGGGAGAAGCGGTCGAAGCTGAGCACCAGGAAGTGCAGCACCAGGTCCTGCAGGTGGCTGTAGGGGATCCCGTAGAAGGTGAAGGTCTCGTCGAAAACGGGCTCCAGGGTCTTGCGGAGCACGCGGGTCTTGACGCGGTGCCTCTTGTCGGGCAGGATGGTCATCTTGATGTAAGGGTCGGAGCTCCGCGTGTGCTCGTCCATCACGGGCAGCCCATGAGCCTCCTGGATGGTGACCACCAGAGCTTTTTTGGGGAAGTTGTAGTCCACGGAGAACGTCAGGTCTCCCAGCAGGACGTCGTCGCCCGGGGAAGAAGGTGAGGAGGTTTTGCTCCCTCCCGGAGTGAGGCTTTGATCTGGGCTGAGTTCATCTCCGTAATCGACTTTGATGGGGAGCTGGTCGACTTGTGGGGGTCCACCTGGAGCTTTGGTGGGGCCCATCAAGCCAGACTCAGCAGCATCCACCAGGAGGTTCCCCCTGCCTCCCTCCTTGTCTCTGCGGATCCGGTTGATTTTCTTCTTGTTGCTCAAGGTCTCGGGGTAGATGCTGATGCCTTTCAGCATGTGGATGAATTTGTAGGGGGGGGTTTTGTGCTTCTTTTCTGCTTGCTGGTGACAGCACGTCCACACAAAGACCGTGACTGAGACAGAAACCACCAGCACGGTGGCTCCAATGAGTCCTGCCACCACGGGGGACACATCTGCGGGGAGACACGGCGGTGAGGAGCAGCACACCTTGCCTGCAGATCTACACGCTCTCCATTCTGGGATCTCCCCCAGCTCCCCCACACATCCCTCCTCGCCTCTAAATTTATTTCTCACGCTCCTAAGGCGTGCCTGACCTGTGTTCCATGAGCTCAGGAAACTGTTGGTTGCCTTATCTTGCCAAACCCAGCTCCTGCATCACCAGCATCTCCATAGGAACGCGGGCTCTCGATGTGCAGGAAGCATTTTCCTTTGATTTTTTTGATGCCCTGTTCAGGAACGTTACACAACTCTCTTTTCACTACAGGGAAGGAGTAATAAATCTGGCCACGATGCTGGATTCGAGATATCCTTCAGTAATGATTTTTAAAATATCCCTTTGCCTTGAAATGGTTGTTTTGCTGAAAACCTGAAATCTCCCAGTTTCCAAACCAACTGAAAACCTCCTTTTAAACCCAAATTTTGCTAAGGATACCCCAATGGTGGCTGATGGTTAAATGGTGACAGCACGTGCATCCCAGGAAACACAAGGTAAGAGGGACGTGGGGCCGTTTTCCAGGAGATAAATGGTGCTGGATAGAGGAATATCTAAAATACTTGGGGATTCAGAGGTTCTCACACCAAAATCATCCCAAACCCCAGCGGTTCTCACACCAAAATCATCCCAAACCCCAGC